CCTCATGTTCTATCGCCCCAAGGCACCATCGTGCCAAATTTGACGCGCCTGCGGTGCCGGGAAGTGCCCTCTCCGGCACCTGACCACTTTGCTATAATATATATATATATATATATATATATATATATATATATATATATATATATATATATATATATATATATATATATATATATATATATATATATATATATATATATATATATATATATATATATATATATATATATATATATATATATATATATATATATAATAGTTGCATAGACGTGCTTCGCCACGGTGAATCTTTTTTAAATGTACCAACTATGGAACAGAACACAAACACAATGCAAACACAACTTCAAAAACAAAAGTAAGCAAAAACACAAACACAAACTCAAAAGTAAACGCAAACGCAAAGAAAAATACAAAAGAAAACGCAAACGCAAACACAAATGCAAACGCAAAAAAATACAAGGAGAGCGCAAACACTAACGCTAAGGTTACACGCAAACGCAAAACAAACCTAAACGCAAACAATAACGCATAACATAAACACAGACTTTATAACGAAACATCCGAAAATAGCTCGATATAACTTAGTCCATGGGTCCTCACATTTTGAATCCAGACTGTGGCTTTAATCGTTGGTACTTTGGCTGCGCGAGGTCGTGTGAGAACTGTGATGGGGACTGTGACAAGTTTACCGGGACCTGTGCCAAGTGTAAGACGGGATATGGATCGCCAGAACTCTCGTGCAGCCAGTGTGAGTAGTGACAGAACTCTCAGGCACTCAGTGTGAGTAGTGTTGTATTGCCAGAACTCACTTGCACTCAGTGTGAGTAGTGACAGAACTCTCATGCACTCAGTGTGAGTAGTGTAGTATCGCTCTCGTGCAGCAAGTGTGAGTAGTGTTGTCACACTTTTGTCACATAGGGTACACACTGATGCCAATCCGTTGCTCTGTAAATTTCAGTGTGGTTAGATCTTCAGTCCTTAGACTGCTATTCCGAAAGTCTAGAGTTCGAATCCAGGTTCAAGAATGTCCCCGAGTCTACCCAGCTGTGATAGATACATAACTCACGTTGGGGAAAGTAAACGCGGCTGGGCATAGTGCTAAACACATTATCCCTTCATATGCCGAGAACTCTACTTCATCTGCCCAAACGGATCGTTAGTTCTAAAGAGGAATCTTTACTACTTCATATCTTCAGTCCTACTAAATTTATACCCCCTCATTATTTTCAGGAAAATATATTACATAGTAATTATTAAACAAGTATAAAAACATTTAAAATAAGAAAATGCTGTAAAAGGGATAAAATCAAACTACAAATTCTTTTGTTTTAAATAAAAGTAAGTACGCTGATGGTAGGTATACATTAGTAGCTTTAGACAGAGGCGTAGCGAGGGGGGGGGGTGCGGACCGCACCGGGTGACACCCGACCTCGCTACGCCATTGGCTTTAGATATCGTTTCTAACTTATGCAGATGATATATTTAAAGAATGTCACTGTAGCATAATTTTAAAACTATTTAACAATACGTGTACTCCCTTATGTTGCCTAGTTTGCCCAGCATACACATTTGGCGCCAACTGTTTGGGGAGGTGCATGGAAAAATGTGGGACTGAATGTTTGGATAAATTTGAAGGAACTTGCCCACGTGAGTGAAATAAGGCATTGTTTTTTTTTTACAAGCTGTTATTTAATTTGCTTCCTCGTGCGTTAGTTTTTTTCTATCGTGCTTTGTTATGGGCCAAAACAGTCGAGCAAAATTTTGACCACTTATTTGAAACAAAACATGTTTTCTAACGCAATTTATAACAAGTTTCTTGACTTTATGTTTAGCAGTTTATAGTTCAGTACACGTTTAAGTTAGCTTCGTACTTAATCGATGATTCAAAAGTTAAATATTTTTTTTGAAAATTTAAAAAAAAATAATTATGTAACTTTGACATTTTCGATCTAACTAATTACTTTTCTTAAAGTTTAGTATTCTTAATGAATTCTAATTTAAAATTTAAAAGAATCTAAATGTTGAAAATAAATACTTGAAAATATTCTGCAGCCAGCGAAGTCAATAACAGAAAGTATCTATGGTGGCTGACGTTACTCATTCCGATTGTCGGATTTTTCCTGTTTATCGCAAGGTACTGTAATGGTTCACACGTTAAAGTATCAACTTTACACACACAACCACATACACACATAGGCACCCGCGCTATATTTCAAAAAGGGTCGCACGACCACACCTATTACCCCACACTAGAAAATTACCTGTCTGAGAAAAGTATTTGCAATAAAAAAAAAATCAATGAGAAATTATATACTTTATTAAGCCATTAAATATATGAACATTAAGGTTACTATTTTTTAATAACAGCTTATAATATGTAAGGAAATGAACTAAATCGATTTCTAACTACACATGCACACACTTTAATACACACACTCTCTAAAACATGCATGCACGCATACATACATACATACATACATACATACATACATACATACAT